CCCCAAAACCCCAAAACCCCAAAACCCCAAAACCCCTAATTAGTCGATAATAATTGAATTAATTACTTCAAATCCTTCAACATCGCCCATAATATTTCAACTATGAAGAAAGTAGTGATTCTGGTATACCTTATCTGAATGATACATTGCAAAGACGGACTCATCAACCGTTTCAGAGAGATGCCAATGGTCAACTTAACCATAGTACATCCTAAATTCGAGAGAATCAGAAAGGCAGTCACACCCATTATTGCAACATTTGGGATAATGTATGAGCATTTTGGAGATTATACCCCTCCAGTGAGAGATATCGTACCTTTTTGAATGCAGTCCTATCTGCATTTCTTGACTTTTCTGAATGTAACAGTCTGAGATGAGTACAATCGCTTAAAAACTTACTGTATCTACGGATTTTGTGTTTATTAAAGCAGCCGAAGAGCTCAGAAAATTCTGTATAATGATCGAGAGTGTACTCATTGAAGTCTTGTTAATCACTGAACTAGAGTACGGATATCAAGCTCTCAATTATGCATACTTGAAGAAAGAGTTTGGAATTATTACCAAGATCATAAATGTAAAAGGATTGGAGACATACCAGGAAAAATCTCACTGCATTCGCATGAGAATTGGACAGCACTTCATGCCCACTTTCAAAGGCAATGACACCTCACATTGCTCTGAGTTCGATGAGATCATCCACAGTTTCTCTGAACGACCTGTAGATCCTCCCATAGACTGGTCGCCTTTGTTTATAAACCTCATGATATTTGCTGCTCTTATTGTTGCTATTTATGCTGGTTGCAAATTTGTTTTAAAAGAATGGAAGAAAACCGAAAAGCTATATGCTCATCGGCAAGGAAGAATGCATTTAAATCAAAGAAATAGGAGGTCCTCAAACTCAAGGCATTCTTCAAAGAAGGAAGCCAAATGCTGGTGGTACTAAGTGATTATTCCCAGAGGAGGAAAGATGATTCTTTGCTTGATCACCAACTTGTTGATATTTCTGAATAAAGGTAAATATTTCCTCCTTCTCAGCTGCACACAGATGATTTGGAAAGTGTCCAAATTTGACCGAATAAATTTTATTTGAGTTTCAACGATTTAAAAGTATCATGGGGTTTTGGGGTTTTGGGGTTTTGGGGTTTTGGGG